TTTTTTAATTTTAAACTATACAATTAAAAAATAACTATTTATTTATCATACCTATTCAATTTCAGAACCTCCAACTCTGAATGTTGACTACATATTTATTGCAGTTTCTCCAGTCCCTGTTTGGGTTAGGCATTGGCTTTTAGCCCTTCGTGGCAGTCACTGTTTGGCCGGTTGTCGTCTTCTAATCATACACGCCATCTCCTGTGCAATTGTCAACACAATAAAATGATGGCCGTTGTCTGTTATTAGATTTTCAATATTTTGGTTTAAATTACAAATTTTGATTAAGAAATTTTAACAAATTTGTTAGTTTTTAAATTTAATAAATTCTAAAAAATTGAAACTTTTTTTTATAGAATAAATCAACTGATTAACTTCTTATAAGAAAAAAAAAATGAGGATTCAAATTTGGTCATACTGATGAATAAATGCCTTTCTGCCAATAATTTGATTAATTATTCTATAGACCTTCATCCTAAAAAATTAAAACTTAATTTTAGATAATTTAACACAACATTATCTTATAGAGAGGTTTCCAATCTTACATTATCAATTAATTATTTTTAATTAGTAAAATATATAATTTAATATGTATTTATTCATTTAATAATATAAATAAATCTGGATTAAAAGGGTAACAATTATATGTTGGAGTTGGAGGCGAGAAGTGAGGCACAGTGCCAGATAGGGATCCAGCAAATACAAGGCCTGTATGGTTGTGGCTGTTTTCTATTTATCTGGAAACAACTCCCAGCTAATGTTCTTTTGTCTCTCATAAGATTCTTCATAATTTGAATGTTTTTGTTGATTTATTAATAGTCCATAATTGAATTTATTTATTTATATTTTTTTAACATAAAAAATTTTTAAAAAAAAGTGAAATTAAAACTCCACACTACAAAGGAGATTGTTTTTTTTATAAGACACGAAGTAACCACTTTAGCCCACTAGGACTTCCTCTCCATAATTGAATTTATTGAACAAACTGTTTGTCTTGATTCCCAGACATCCCCTCATGAATGTGCACAATTTTTTCTTTTTTTTTGGGGTCTAGGGTACATGAATCTGCAGAAAAGCCAAGGTTTGTTCACCGAAAAGTTTAGGGACCCTTTTCGAAAGGTTTTTGTCGAGAAATTTTACCTGAAAAATGGGGCCAATATCTTTCCCCTTAAGTGCGGCCGGTTAGATAAAATTAAAATTCTAATTTGAATATATCTAAGTTTAAATTTTAAGTAAAGTGAGAATATATAATAATATTATAATTATAATATTATGTAAAATTATAAATTTATAAAAATATTAAGACATCAGAGCTTGCCTCGCCTGGTTCTTCCTCTCCGTCAACCATGCTATCGTTCGTGAGCGTGGTGGTTTAGCTGGAAACGCCAGAGATGGTTGGTAGAGGCCGGCCGAGAAAGAAAGATCCGTCGTCTAAGGGTGGTGCTGCAACAAAAACAATAGATCTGAAAGATGAAAAGGGGGAGCAAAATAGCATCTCGGTTGAGGAAACCAACAAAGAGCAAACTGAGGTCGTGAAGCTTGTTGCTCGCGATCCAAACCAGATGGGTCTCGAAATTGAGGAATCAGGGCGTTTGAGTCCAAATCTAGGGGAGAAAGAAGGGGACGCTGAAGAAATTTTGCTAGATCTAACAGTTTCGACGCAAGGCCAAAGGAATAGCAGATTCGATGCTGGTCCCAGGGATGGAAGAGCAGATAAGGGGAAGAGCGAGGCCGGCCCTGTGGAAGGGAAAGTAGCGAAGGGGAAGAAGGGAGTGCGCTCGGAGACTCAGCCTTCTGTCATCTAGATGAAGCAACCGTCCGGTGAAAAGGACGCTGGTTTTACATCCGGTATGGCGATGTCCCCTAGTGCTCGGTGGAGTGACCTGATTGAGAAGGAGAAAGGGGAATTTCAACCATCTCTAAAGCAGAAGCCACTGCGTAGTTGGGCTTCGGTTGTGGAAGGGAATAGGGATATAAGTAAAGGATGGGATTTGCAATACATAAAACCTCAAGATACAACTGGTGCTGTGGTTATTATTAAGGATGAGTGGGTTAAAGGGTCAAAGATTTGGGAGAATGCTCTTGTTGGGTATGTTTCTGGGATCTAAACCAAAGAAGTAAATACCGTTTCGTACCGGTTTTTAGAGTAGACTGAAACGAAATAAAAATGAATTCCGTTTCGGTCAAAATCTGGTGATTTCAGTCAAATTTCGATGTACCAACTGAAATTTAGGCATACCGACCGGTACACCGAAATTTAACCGGTACAATATGCAAGAAAAAAAAAAAAAGATTTGCTAGCCAAAACGACGTCGTTTTGGCCATCCCTGCAATTTTGATCGCGCAAATCCTCTTCTGTTCTCGTGTCTAGCTGTCTTATCTTCCATTTTTTCAGTTGCCCGCTACAATTCAAATCAATTCAAATTTCAAAAGGGAAAATTTCATTTTTAGTCCTCAATTTTGATATTTTATATAATTTTCATCCTTTAGTTTTTTTATATACTTTTTTAATCCATTCTTCATATTTTTTTTAGTCCTTCTATTAATTACTCCATTAAGTTTTTTTAAATACACACATTTTTAATCTTTTAATGTAAAATGGATGAACAAAAAATATGTATATATTAAAAGTTAAGGGATTAAAAATTATCATTTTAAACTTATTTTTAATTTATAAAACTATAATAGTTTTAAATGTTAATATCTCTTATTTTATTTTAAAATTTGATATTTAATTTATAAAAATATATATTTATAGCGATAAATCCGAAACGGTACGCGAAAAATTTCGATATCTGGTACGTACCGTTCCAGTAACAAAACCGGTACGCATGCCGGTACGGTATTGACTACTTTGATCTAAACCTGATTTTAAGGATGTTGTTAATTATGTGAATAACAGGTGGAGGGAATTCCAGGTGCCTAAGGTGTTTACGCTGTGAAATGGAGTTTTCTTGTTTGATTTTGGTAATGGAGATGCAAAGCAGGCGGTGCTAGAGAGGCGATGGACATTTAATGGGCATCCTTTGATTTTGAAACAGTGGGCTCTAGATTTTGATCCTGACAATTTGGATATCAGTAAGATTCCTATTTGGATCCAATTTCCTGAACTCCATTTGAGTCTTTAGAACCCTGAGAGCTTAGGAAAGCTAGCAAGCTATGTGGGAGTTCCTATTGCAACTGATGCATTAACAGTTAAAAGGCAAAGAGTGGCTTATGCTCGTATGCTAGTAGAGATGGAAATCAAGGACACTCTGCCCCGTGTAGTTCCTATTATTGGTCCTAAGGGTGTATTCCAGCAGCCTGTGGTCTATGAATGAGAGCCTGTCAGATGTGGTAAATGTAGAAACCTGGGGCATGAAGAGAGAAACTGTACTGCAAAGGAAAAAAAGGTGTGGGTTCCAAAAAAACCTGCCAAGGAGCAGGTGGTCAATCAGATAGTTGGCACGAAGTCTTCTGAGGGGAATGATGAATTATGTGGTGGTGAAGTGCAAA